CGCAGCAGTCCATCCCCATCCCCACCCCCGCCCCTTGAGTTCCCTGTCACCCTTGACCTGCCCGCTCTGGAGTTGGAATAGCGAGGTGGTGCAAGGGCCATGCTCCCAGAATCTAAATCCTGATTATATTCTCATTCACATTCTGCGGCTAACTGAGCTGTCTTGAGCAAGCCAGCAAATTATTCTTGATGTTTGCTTCCTGGAGGAAACTGAGATCTTGTAAAGATCAAAAATGCGGAGAGCCGGGGGGAGGTAAAGAGGGGAGTACTCTAAAAACATGCAATGCAGAAATTAAATAGCTCCTGATTCTCACCCACTTGGATCCATAGAATAAAAAAGACAGAAAACAGACATGGTGGTGCACGGGTGTAACCCCAGCACTGGGAAACTGAGGCAGAGGAATCTCAAATTGAGGCCGACCTAGATTGCATAGTAAATTTCAAGTCAGCCTAAGATACAGCAAGACCCCCTTTTTCCACCCCACCGACAAAAAGATAAAAACAACCGTCAGGGGGTTAGGTGTGAGGAAATTGGAACCTGCGTACCTTTGGTGTGGCAGCCCCTCCAGTGGTCCAGCATAGTCACTCCTGGACCCACACCCAGCTAAAACACAGCTGCACAGAGAACGGTGCGTGGATGCGTGTGTGCCGCCATGATCCATAACCAACCACATCAGGTGATGATTCGCCGCGGCTTTACACATCTTGGGTCCAGGAACCCTGACTGGGGGCAGCGAGGGGATGAAGAAAGGACAGACAGACAGACAGACAGACAGAAAAGCTGGGCTGGGGTGGCCTGTGCTTGCTCTAACGGAGGAGCCACAGCCCCCTGGAAGCTCAGGGTGGTTATTATACACAGTTGAACGAAGACTGTGTTATTACATGCAGAGAACCTGGTGTCATCATTATATACACAGCCGAACAAGGAGGCAGGTTCAGCTGACCTCAGTAGGAGCAGCTCGGGGGGGGGGGGGGGGGGGGGGGCAGTCTTCAGGCCAGAAACAAGGGAGGGAGGAGACGCTTTCTGACGCTGTCAGCATTCCCACTGGACCCGAAGAAGGCTTTGTCATCTCTCTGGGTCTCGCCACCCAGAGAAAGTTTCGCCACTCCCATGGGTCTGAGGCTTTGGGGCCCTTGACCTGGTTCTACCCTGCCGGACAGCACACCTTCACTTAGGACTTCACTGGCTCCCTACAGTGTGTGGATAATATAGGTATCTGCATCATGAAAGAGAAGGATGGGCGGGGGTGGGGGGCTGGAGAGATGGCTCAGTGGTTAACAGCGCTGCCTGCTCCACAGAGGACCTGAGTTCAATTCCCAGCATCCACGTGGTGGCTCACAACAGCCTATAACTCCAGTTCCAGGGATTCTGATTCCCTCTTCTGGCCTCCTCGGGTACTCTATGCATGTGGTGCCCATACAGACAGACAGACAGACAGACAAAACACCCATACACATACAATAAAAATAAGTCTAAAAACAACTTTAAATGAGAAAGTTATACAACTGCTCATATATCCAGCAACAAGCATGAGCCTTGAAAACATGATGCTAAGCAAAGAAACCAGTCACAAAAGATCACGTGCTAGGGTTCCATTTACAAGAAATATCCAGAACAGTCATGGTTGTAGAGATAGGAAGCAAATCAATGGTTGCTAGGGGCTGGGAGGGGCGGAATGGGTAGCAACTGCTCGTAGGTTTCAGGATGATGATGTGCCCAGATTGATTTGTCAGCGGACTCTGAGTGTACTGAATACTGAAGTTTGCACTTTAAATGGATAAATTACAATTCAGAGCACAGCCTGTAATCGATGACGTCTCACAACCTGTTGACCAGGCCACAGGTGTTCTCACACTCAGGTTCGTGACCATCAGAGACACCAGGGTCCAAATCAGACACTACAGGTTAATTGCTTGAAATAAAATACCCGAAGGAAGAATGCAGTGCATCCTCTGTTTTCAGAATGTGTGTGCATGTGCGTGCACGCGCGTGCACAGGGACCCACAGAGTCCAGAAGAGGACATCAGATCCCTAAGAGCTGGGGCTACAGGCACAGGTGTGATCCCCCTGACTTGGATGCTGGGGCCTGACCTTGGGTCCTGTGGGAGAGCATTAAATGCTCTCAGCCTCTCAGCTCCTGAGGTAGCCTTTTAACCCCTGAGAAGCAGGTGCTTATGGAAGAAGTAGAGAGAGTGACGGACGGTCACATGTTTGGCAGCAGTCTGAAGCAGGAGCTGAAAAATGGGCCAGGAGAGGGCCCAGCTCCAAGCACGTTAGGGACTTCAGGATGTTCTCAAGAAATGCTGCATCACAGACGCCCTTGCGACACAAAGGGTGAATCAGCAGCAGCAGGAACTCTGAGTCACACCAGCGGTTCAGAAGGCAGGGACTCTGCATGTGAAAACAGCTGAAGAATACAGCGACTCTGCCTGCATGGGCCTTTGTGTGCGCAAAAGGGAGAAAAGAAAAAGAAAAAGAAAAGTCAAGAAAGCCCAGAGTTTCTTTCGGCAGAACCAGGTGAAAGGAGCAGGTTCAGAAAGCGTGGAACCAAAAGGGTGGTGTGAGGAGGCATCATCTCTATCTACCTGGCGGCAAGGTTTCCTTTCTTAGCCCTGCACGCTCCAGCCTGCCAAAGGTCTGACCTTCGATGCCACGGGTGGATTCAGCCTTAGGATGGTTCAGCTAACAGTTTCTCAGCTTCACCATGGTGTGAAGGTGATCGGTGCTCGGAAGCAGTCATACTTCAGATTTTGAGTTTTGATCTTTTCCCAAGCAGACAACATGCAGTATGATGCTCTTCTAAGGCAGGGGATAGCCTCGGCAATCCATGGCTTCCGGTCAGCCTTGTGCTCATGAGCAAATGTTAGGAAACATTAAATTATTCTCAAAGTCCATTAGCGGGTAAGTGACTGGGCCAGGACTTGAACTCATCTGACTTCAGAAGACCACGCTACAGGCCATCTTCATGTTTAGTCTAAATGGAGTATTGGATCCCAGCATAGTGATATGGATGGAGGTAGGAGGATCATGAGTTTGAGCCCAGCCTGTGCTCAGAGAGATATCTTGGTCTTGGTCCAAACAATAATAATTTGCCGGGCAGTGGTGGCGCACATCTTTAATCCCAGCACTCGGGAGGCAGAGGCAGGCGGATCTCTGTGAGTTTGAGGCCAGCCTGGTCTACAGAGTGAGATCCAGGAAAGGCGCAAAGCTACACAGAGAAACCCTGTCTCGAAAAAACCAAAAAACAAAAACAAAAAAAAATTGTAAAAAGAGGAGGAAGATGAGGAGGAAAGAAGGAGAAAAGAAGGGAGTGGGTGAGGAGGGCAGTCATGAGAGCAGTGGGGGTCTGGGCTTTCCCCACCCATACCGTCCACTCAGCCAACTGTGTTTATTATGTGGCTATAAGGAAGCCACAGTAACCACGAGACTGGGGTTCCAGCTTCCTCCGGCAGGTCAGGGCTGTGTGTTCAACCTTTCTCCCAGAAGTCTCGGTCTCTCTCTCTCTCTCTCTCTCTCTCTCTCTCTCTGAGCTGCCTGCAGGAGCTTTCTGCACCATGTGT